TCAGACCGATGAGTTTTGTAAAAATCGACGCGTTTCAGAAAGGCGGGGCATAGAGGAGAAACAATAATGTTCAGTATGTAGAAAATAATGTTTTTTTTTTTTACCTTAAACCGCATAAACACATTTCATTACACCAAATACACAAAATACTGTTCTTTTTAGCAGCATCATATGACCCCTTTAATGTGAAACTTTTTGTGCTGCCACTTTGGCCAGGATTCCCTGGAAGAAGAGATTTTACATCTCAATGAGACAATCCTGGTAAAACAAAGGATTAATGAAAAAAAAAATTAAAACTGAGGTAAGAAACTTGCAAGGGAATTGTGCTGAAAAGCGAGCTTGCAGGTATGAAGCCAATCCCAGAATGCACTGCCACAAACTCTGTCGAGAAAAAAATAAATAAATAAAGAAAAAAATATACCAATCCAAGAATAAAATGAGGGAAGAAATACAAGTCAGATGTTCATCATAAACTTCCAGACCCTCAGATTCCATCTTTCTGCCTCACTGCCCCCAGCAGGCACTGGAAATGGTCCTAAAATCACATTTCATTTTCAATTGTGGAATGAAAACCGATTCCAAGAGAGTCAGAGGGTTCTCAGAAAATGCACTTGGCCAGATTGCAAAGACTGAGCCATCACGCTTTTGATTTGCCACAGCAGGTCCAAAGTAAATCTGCTTGTGAATTAATTATTATGAATTAGATCATATTTCACCCCAAAAACTAAATAAAAACATATTTTGCATGAAGTGCATAGCTTATGATGCAAGTAACAATTTATTATTTCTTTCTTTGGATTTTGGAGAAAAATATGACAGATTCTTGACTGCCTGTGTAAGATTTTTTTCTGACTTTTGTTTAAAGCTTTGTAATATAGAAGTCTTATTTTGTGAATTATTGAAACAAAGCTGATGTGGGCAGAAGAAACATCATTCTTAAGTGCCTGTGTGTGTTTGTTTGGAATTAAATTGACTCCTTCACATGAAAAAAAGTGCTCATTGGAAATTCAAATGGGATGTGTGGGCTTGGTAATTAGCACTGGAGCAAGACTGCTCTAATTAAATCAAGCCTCTTTTCTCCTCAGTGACATGAAGAGCCCAATGCTGCAGCTCATCTCTTCTTTGTAGGTTGATGGTAGTTTTACCTTGAATACTTTGTACTTGCCTTATGATATTATTAGCGTTTTTTCCCTGTCTGAATCACATCATTGATGTCTCCTGTCGCAGAGCACAAGAGATGGTTTGTGGAAGTCTGATGGATATTGATTAAACGCCTCTTTCCTCACACATCTGGCTCTTTTGGGACAGATGACTGATTGTTTCAATAGAGGCTTTGCTTAATCCAGGCTCAAAATGGCATGGTTAGTCTTAGAAACGTATGATGAAGTACTGCAGCTGAATACTTTGGATGAAATTTAAAGAGAAATACTTTCATGGGCCTTGTTTAAGCCCTGTTGCGACAGACAATCGTTTCCTAGAGGATTCACATTGAGGGGTTTGGAAAGTTAGCTTGAAAACAACACGGCCCTGTAATCATCATTGGGATCCATGGTGTGGGAATTAAATGGCTGTTTTTTCTGGTCACTGCTGTTGTTTTTTCCAGATGCACTTGTCGGTGTAAAAATCCCAGACTTATGTCTAAAGAAGCCAGAATAGCACAGAAACTTGAGGGACTCTTTTCACTTTGATTTTGCACCATGCTTTTTTGCTGCTCTTATTAAGTTGTTAATGGCACGATATTCTAGCATATGCATTTTCATTCAGATATTCATATATCTGTATTTGTGGTATCATATTAATTCAAATTAGCTGTTTTTTTTTTTTTTTTTTTTACTGAATCTATTTTTTAAGGAGATATGCATGACTTTGTTGTTTTGAATGTGCCATAAACCAAACCCAATCCCAGACTGACACGTTCAGTTAAAGCTCTCAACAGAAGTTAGTGGGGAATGTGCATTAGCAAATTGATTATGCACGAGACTCCAGGGCCCTTGGTGATTGCCTACACACACACACACACACACACACACACACATAACCTTGCAATAAAACAGCTGATGCAACACTTCCAAGACACATGGTAGAAAGTCTGCTTTATTGGTTTCATCATAACAGTCTTCATTCTCATACGATCACATTTAGGTTCTGCATATACAATATGTTTCAATAGGCTAAAATGATCAACAAGCTCCATTTTTAATGAATTTCATTTGATTTTTGTGTCCAGAATGGTTCAGAATCTATATAATTTGCACATGCATGTCTGTCTATAGTTAAGGGTGCATCAAACACTAAAGCTGCTGTCTCTGTTGCTTTGAAGAGAGTTTATTTGCGGTCTCCTAAATGGTTTTCACTCTCTAACAGACCAAACACATATCAGAGAACAACCTAGTTTTTAAATGCATAGTCATGTGAAAGTCATGCAAAAATCATGCAGCAACACAACATGAACAAACTTGGTTTGTACAAACTGAACAAAAAGTCTCCCACTCCAGGAAATGGGATTTACTCTTTTTTTCTTTTGTGCCGAGTCATTCGCCTTAAATCTCCACTGACCTCAAATAATACTTCATTAGAATTCTGCCATTGATTGATTGGGAAAATGGGAATGATTCATTAACAGAAAGCACAATTTGGAATAGGAAGGTGAATCCAGCATTGGGAAAACATTAATGATATTACATTGTGGGTAAAAAAATCTGGTCCTTTAAGACTGTTCATATTTTGGCAAATATTTAAATTATTTTAAGTGACAATTAAGCACATTTCCCCCTAAAAATTCTCATGTAGTAATGCAATTTAGTACTGGTTTTTGCTATTTTATTAAAGTTGATTTTATTTTATTAAACTAGCATACATAAATTCTTCCATTATGTGGATGCAAATGCATACAGTTGTACTTTTCTAATATTTTTGTCGCAATATATTGAGAATGAGATTACAGTAGTAAATGTTTGTCATGTAAATAATGCACATTGCAAATCTTATTAATCAAAATTGATTTTATTTTTATTTATTTGCCAGTATAGTCATGAGAATGAGGAAGGAGGTTTAAATTGAATTCTCATTAATATATTGCACAATGCGAATCCTATTATCTGTCCTAAAATTAGGACTTTCTTCAAACAAAATATAATTCATTTTGAATTTGGACTAAAAGACCCAGATTTTTCATGCGATTCACCTTTTTGGAGGTTGATGAGCAAATTGACTTGAATCAGAGGGAACGCCGTAGTTTAAAAACTGTCCTTGTGCCTCAACTCAGACTTTGTACATTATGTAATCGGTGGAAAAGTTGAATGAAAAAGGTCCAACGATTGTTATAACCTTGCGTCTGAGGAAAAAGCACAACCTGATCTATTCTCAACGGGTGGAACGGATACTTCAAAACACAGAGAACGCATACCACAGAGTTTAATGACACAGCTTGCATAATTTCATGAAAAACTTAATGGAATGAACTGTGAGTTAATTACGGGTAATTAAACTATCAACCGGCATCCTATGAACCCAAATAAAACAGATGAAAGGGAAATGCCGTTTCAACAGCCTCGTTTGAAAGATAGAAAATAGCTGTTACTAGCAGAGTATGATCAATCAACAAAAAAAAGACCCAAATAGATTCAGGCTCATCCAGGCTTAAACTACACAATCCCTCTTCGGTCTCAACCGCACCCGACCGCATTCTCCCAGTATGGCCCCCAGCCAAACTTCCCTGGGAAACAGATATGCACCTCAGGGAGATCAGGCTGTTAACCCAGGGCCATCATCCAAAGATAAAGCTCACCGCCTCAAAAACAGAGAGGGAACAAGGGAAGATAATGCAAGATGTGGAAGACTCGTGGTCCTTGCTCCAAATTATTCAAGTTAGAAGTGTTTAAGACCACTTGTGCTCAACAAATTAAATAAGACATAAACCAATAATTGGCTTGACCAATATTTACTTATTTGCTTAAATGGTTCTTAGTAGGTCAATAAACAACAATTTCGTGCACCTCTAAAGAATAACACTCAACGACACCTTTACAACACCGTGTATTTGTCACAAAACAGTGCAGTCAGTAATAGTTTAAAGAATTACTTTTATAAGTTACTCTACTTAATACATGTAGGACTAACAGTTAGACTTGGCCTGTATTGAATACATGAATATTTAAATTGCTAAAAATGTAATTGTGATATTTAATTATATTTACAATGCATATTGTTTTTAGTGCACTATTTAGATATAGCCTCAAATGCAAACACTGCTTCTACAAATCGTTTATCTGAGTTTTTGGTTTTAGTTATCAGTCATTAATAAAAATAACTAAAAATACTGAACTAAGTTGATCTCTACAGACATGATCCCTTTACATGCCCACCCTGGTGATTCTGACTCACGATACTTTGACTGAAACATTTTGGACGTGTTTTTGTGCCAGTTCTCCGTAGCGTGGGTGGAGAGAAGTGGATCTCCGGTCTCCTCCAGGCATGAGATCTGAATCACACTTCCCAAACCCACTTAAAACGCACCCACACTCATTGAGGATATTGCACTGTAAAATTATGCATTTTTATGTTATTTTTCAGTAGCTGAGGCTGTTGAAATGGACAGGAGGTTGGCAAGAGTTTCTTTTCTTTCCTGCCGTTTTTAACACTCATGCACAGATTTATGCAGTTTCCCTTAAAATAAATAAATTATAATTTACCATGGTAACCAGTTTTTCAGCAAACATCATAGTTACTATGGCTTATTGATTATTCTGGAAACATCTTACATTGCTTTCATGACATGCCATACATTCTTTTTTATGCGTTGTTATAGCAGTAAACAATAAAAGGAGCAACAAAGATATTTTGGAAACTATGATTACCATGGTACATTTTTATAAGGTTTACAAAGATAAAGCACCAGACAAAAAAGGGGGATTCTGAGCATGCACACAAGCTCAGAGAACTTTCCAAATTAAAATGAACAAACTTATGAATAAATGAAAAACAAGGAAATGACACAAATGTGGGACCTGACTGCAAGTTTATTTTTATATTACACTTTTAAAAACATGTATAAAATTGGTCCGGCTTCAGAAACAAGGCACACAATGTCTTGATTCATGATCTCAGTGTTTGTATCAAGCATTCCCTATATAAAAACATCCAAATTACTGAGGTTGAAATTCAGAGCAGCGAGACAACCATGCAAATAAACTTGTGTGATGCAGACTGGATGCTTTAATAGTAGGTCTCCCTCTCCACCCAACCTATGACAAAAATATAAAATTCTAATTAGCTCAGCAGGACGTTTGCATGCATGTAAACTCTGATCGGTATAGTCTTAAAAATCCATCAATTTGGTGGAAAAACAACAACAACAAAAAAACTAGTGAGCTGTTTATATAGGCAACATTTAAAGTCAAACACTGGCTTCTATCATGTGTTCTTCATTGAGAAGCAATCCCAGAATGCAGTACAATGTGGGGAAAAATCTATCCAAGATTATCCAGGTACACTTGAAAGAAATCTTAAAATTATAAAAAAAAATACTTATTCAAAATTTAAAAATACTACTAGATCATGGTTCGTTCTAAATATAATTTACTATTTTAGTCAATATTTATGTTTGTATTTTTGTATCATATTATTACCTATGTAGACAAGTCAGCTCACTAGGTTTTGGAACACAAGATTTACCACATTACACAAACAAAAACGATCTTCATTGTTATGAGGGATGGTGCAATTAAATATTCTCTTACCTCCTGGGCTGCGTCGGATGATAAGTTTTCGGATTTCATCATAAATAAAGATGAGGAGTGAGTAGGGGAAGGCGCAGAACCACCAGCTTGGTCTGGGAAAGAAATTGTACCAAAATTAATCACATCTGTTCTAGACAGCTGTTTGATATTTATTACATTAGCAAATTCTCCCAGTAAACTCTCCTAACAAACATATTTCTCCTAAAAATTCATGAAATATTGAGCATCAGTCATGCTCAACTTTTTCTTTAAATAAATTAAACAGTAAAGCCACTATGGCAATGTTTTTACATATTGTGTTTGCATAATGCATTGTATAAACTCATGTGATGCAATGGAAATATAACCTCTTACGTTTAAAAAAAAAAGATAAACAAATTATACACATTACAAACAATTTATACTGAAATATGTTCAGCTTTTTTCTTAAAATGACGGCAAAACAGTTAAAAGGGCAAGACTTACTTCAGTGGGTACATTCTGAGGGCAACATCCATGCCTGGGCAGTAAGACAGGAAAGCTGCAAGAGCTGTTTCTTCAAACAGTCCAAAGATGAGAATCTTATTCCTGTAAACAACAGAAAACACATAAGACTTGTTATCACTGATTGGATTGATTCAAATTAGGTCAAATTATTGACCATTTACTTACTTCATTCCCTGCTGGAAGACAGAGTTTCTTCTGGTCTTGCAGATGATCAGATCGGCCCACTGCACAATTACAATACTGGCGAAGAAGGCTGTGTGGCATGTGAACTCCACAATCTTCCTCTGCTCATATGTCTGTGATGACCAAGAACACGACATTCAGATAAGGTGGTGGGAAAAAAAAAGGAACAATTATATGCCCACTGGATGAAAACACTCACCCATTGCTGGCCATAACTGTCTTCCAGGTCGTTGACATATCTGTCATCCCAAAACACTCGAATGCCCAGCAATGACGAAGGCAGGAAACCATTTTCAGCCAAGATGACAAAATACGTGAAGAACCCGGCCAGAGCTTGAATCATACCTGTGAAGCAATGAGATTCAATCACCCAACTCCACTTTACGCAACTGGTGGCAGAGAAGTCGTGCAGAAGAAAGCCTGCAGAAGTTTATGCTGTGTAGTATCTGAGACTCTTACCGATCTGACCGTAGGCTATGCTAATGAGTCTCTCGTTCACAAGTTTGTCTGTTTTGGGGTTTCTGGGTTGACGCTTCATGATGTCACTCTCTGCAGCTTCATAGGCCAATGAAATGGCAGGAACCTTGAGGATAAGAGGACAATAACGTTCATGCAAGAACATGATAGGATGACCAATTAAGTGGTAAATTACTAGTCAAGTGCAGTGGCTTACCATGTCAGTACCCAGGTCAATGCAAAGAATGGTGACGGTACCCAAAGGAAGAGGGATGTTGGCAATGATGAAGAGGAGGAAGGGGGTGATCTCAGGGATGTTACTGGTCAGGGTGTAGGCAATGGACTTCTTCAAGTTGTCAAAAATCAGACGGCCTAAAGTGGAAGACAAGCTTGAGGAGCAGGTCTCAAAGTAACCTTCAGAATTCTTCAGTCAATGAAGTTGCCAATAACATGTCTTACCTTCTTCTACTCCAGTGACAATTGAGGCAAAGTTGTCATCCAGAAGGATCATGTCAGCAGCCTGTTTGGATACATCAGATCCAGCAATACCCATAGCCACACCAATGTCAGCCTTCTTCAGAGCAGGAGAATCATTGACACCATCACCGGTTACAGCTACAATGGCACCCTGTGTACAAACACAAATGGATCTTACATCATGTTGTGGCACGCCTACATTCTTGTCCTAACCAGCTACGATTGCAACAACACGTTTTGTCAATATTTTGGTGTCTACTATAACTTTGTATGTTCCATTTCAGTGTGGACAGAAGTTACTTCTTGCATTGCACCAACCAGGTAAAGTACTTACCTCTTATCTTATCAAAATGACCTGGTGAAGTTTTGATTGATCTGAGATTGTAAAGACTACTAACCTGTCTTTGGCAGCCTTCAACGATAATCAGCTTCTGCTGAGGAGACGTTCTGGCAAACACAATTTCTGTGTGGTGTTTCAAGACATCATCTAATTGCTCTGGGGTTAGATCCTTCAGGTCACCACCATGGATCACACAAGCCTTGGCATCCCTTCAAAGAACATTAAATAAATAACTGGATGCAATAAATATCCAGCCAGAAACATCCAAACTGATGAGGAGGAATCCGCTACCTTGGGTTGACCTCATTAATAGGAATGTTCAAGCGAGCAGCAATATCTTCAACCGTCTCGTTGCCTTCAGAGATGATACCCACTCCCTTGGCAATGGCCTTGGCTGTAATTGGATGATCACCAGTAACCATAATAACCTAGAAGAGAGATTTTGAATTAGCATTTAATATGTTTTTGCTTGTTTCTTAAAAACGACTAGCAGTTATTTGTATGACTACGAAGTACCTTGATTCCAGCGCTCCTACATTTGCCCACAGCATCTGGTACAGCAGCACGAGGAGGATCAATCATGGACATAAGGCCAATGAAGCACAAGTTCTCTGTGGGGAAGTTCACCTCTTCTGTATCGAACTGAAAGTCCTCAGGAAACTGTTCATCAGGAAGGTTGAAGTGGCAGAAGCCTGTGGAAAAACAACATGTTGATGGAAAGTGCAGAATGGAAACATAGTTTAGAAATACAATTTAAAATGCAAAATTACCCAGCACTCTTTCTCCAAGGCCACCAAGTTCCAAGTAGGCATTTTGGAAGGCGTCCTTCATCTCATCATCAAGCGGCTGCTCTTTTCCTTGGATTAAAATAGAGCTGCACCTGTCCAGGATCCTCTCAGGAGCACCTTTCATTACTAGCAGGTGTGTGGTTTCAGTTTTATTGCTATTGGGGTTCTTATGGATGGAGAGCTAAAAAGGTCCATAAACAGAATATGTTTGAACATCTGAATTTTATCCAAAGACTTGGCCAAAGTAGGAGGTGGTTTTACCTGGTATTTGTTAGTGGAGTTGAATGGGATCTCTGAGATCTTGGTGTATTTTTCTCTCATCTCTTTAACCGACCCACAGCAGAGCTCTATACACTTCAGCAGGGCAGATTCGGAGGCGTCACCAGCCACGTCTCTCTGTAAGAAGAAACAGAAAATGCATAAGAACAAAAACAGGATTAAGAAACACGGCTGCATTTTAAAACAGCTTAGATGTTCTATGAAATGCAAGGCAATTTGAGGTAACGGTCCAACAAAATTACTCCCATTACAAAACAAGTCAGAGTGGGCAAAAATTGAAAGGTGTTTACAGGAAAACACTGTGTTCCAGTCAGAGGCTCTAGAGAGCTCAAGGGGCTCGAAGAATCCCCAGAGGCAAACAGCCAAACTAAACACAAGCAGACAAACATGCCTAGCATGTAGTAAACAACCTTCAGATGGCATCAGTAACATGCAAAGACTACCTTGTAAGACTATGCAAGGGCTTGTGAATCTTTTCACATACTTTCACAAAGCATCAACCCACACCTTAAGAATTGGGAAGTTTTCTTGCTCTGCAAGGAAGACGGCACGGTTGCAGAGACCGGCAACACGTGCGAGGGCGGCCCAAGTAGCAGAGCTCCTGTCGAATGAGGTTCCACTCTGATTCTCTGTGGTGTCTGCTTCATGAATCTGGTTGTCAAACCACATGTGAGCAACGGTCATTCGGTTCTGGGTCAAAGTTCCGGTCTTGTCAGAGCAGATTGTGGAGGTTGAGCCAAGAGTCTCCACAGCTTCAAGATTCTTCACCAGGCAGTTTTTCTTTGCCATACGTTTGGCAGTCAGAGTCAAACACACCTGGAAAGTACAAGAAAGAGGTCTATCTATATTTGAGATTACAATTAATCCAAATTGTAGCAATTATTCTGACACTTACAGTAACAGTAGCCAGGAGACCCTCTGGCACATTAGCGACAATGATACCAATAAGGAAGATGACAGCTTCCAACCAAGAGTAACCAAGGATCAGGGAGAGAATGAAGAAAGACACACCCAGGAAGACAGCCACACCAGTGATGATGTGGATAAAGTGCTCAATCTCAATAGAGATGGGAGTTCGACCAACTTCAAGACCAGAAGCAAGAGTGGCGATACGACCCATGACAGTACGGTCACCAGTGTTGATGACGATACCTCTGGCAGTGCCTGTAAGCAAAACAAATAGCAATGAAAACATCAACTTTAATGGACACAAATTTGACTTCCACAAGAATTTGTTTTTGTACCTTCAACACAGTTGGTAGAGAAGAATGCAATGTTCCTGGTTTCCAGTGGGTTTTCATTGGAGAAATCAGGACTGCGAGTCTGGGGCTCAGATTCTCCAGTGAGGGAGGAGTTGTCCACCTGGAAAGGACAAGATATGTTGTGAATCCTTGTAGACAAGGAATGTGCCATTGGAGAATACTTTTCACCATGATTTATGGAAATGGCATTTTACCTTGCATCCATGAGCAGAAATGATACGCAGATCAGCGGGAATTCTGTCACCACCTTTGACTTCCACAAGATCTCCAACCACAACTTCTTCAGCATTGATATTCTTCTTCTCACCATCACGGATAACCAAGGCTTGCTATGTGACAAAGTGGAAATTCAATTAACATCACAAAGGAAAATAAAGACCCTGATATATATATATATATAGAGAGAGAGAGAGAGAGAGAGTCATCAGTACCTGAGGGACAAGGTTCTTGAAAGAGTCCATGATCTTGGAGCTCTTGGCCTCTTGATAGTACGAGAAACATCCAGTGATCATCACGACAGCAGAGAGTACAATACCCAGATACAACTGCACAGGACAATGGAGGAGAGGTTAGGGATACTGCTAAAACCACGTGATCTTAAAAGACAAACCTTTAAGAAACACAAACAGGGATTTCTCCTTACGTTATCATTGGCAGGTTCCTCCTCGTAGACTGCCTGGATGCCGTAGGCAAGAAAACATAGAATGGCTCCAATCCACAGGAGAGTTGAGAATCCTCCAAAGAGCTGCTTGCAGAACTTGACCCATTCTGGGGTTGTTGGAGGTGGAGTCAAAGCATTGAGTCCATCACGTGCCAAGATCTCCTTAGCACGATCGTTTGTCAATCCCTGGGGAAAGTGATGGGTTAGATAATGAAGATCCAAACTGAGAGCTTTATGCCATTACACTTCCAAAACAGAGTCTCAATTGTCTTTAATTTCAAATTCAATGCAGAAACAGACTTACCCTATTTAAATCAGTGCTGTATTTCCGGGTGAGGTCATCCAGGGACAGTTTGTGATCATCCTACAATAGCACAAAAAAGAACATCAAAGAACATCTCATCAAATACCACTGGAATTGTTGTGTGATTTGTTTTGCCAAAAGGTGTTTTAAAGAACTAAACTGACTTACCAAGTCCACCTCTTTTTTGAGTTCATCCATATCTTTATCCTTCTCTTTCTTGCCCTTGAGCTTTGACTTCTTGCCCCCCTGCTCCGAGGTGGCTGCCAGCTCATATTGCTCTCGACCTTCCTGTGGTGGAGCAAGCAAAGAACAACCATTACATCTTTTTTGCACTTTTTTTCTAAAAATGCAAACTGAGAGCTCACAACAATAATTTACAACATGAATTCAGAAATTGCAACACTGTAATTTTTAACTGGTTACATTTATTGTTGGGTCAGGGTGTTGGTTTAAAAAGACTTGTAAATGCACAAGAAAGTGGTATTAACCCAATTTATGAGTGCAATAGTTGCATATAAAAGTGTAAAATATTAGCAAGAATGAACAGAGTGCAGACTGCATGATCCTAATGAAAAGTAATTAACCAAGTAACCTCTACTACTGTTAAGCAACAGTTCTTATCACAACTAAATTCTGTGAATACAATAGGTGACTCATTGCCTCACAAGCATGGGAGCTGTTAAATGAATCACTTATGTACAGAGCATTTGATTGTTTGCATTTGAACCAATTTGGTCGTCATTTTAAGTCAGCTAAGCAATCAACAGGCTCTTTGTTTGATAAACGAAGGGTCAATTGATCAAATCTTCAATTGTAATTTTTACAATTTACTGAAAAGAGAAAAGCACCATAGCACAACACATGAGCATAAAAAGTTAAAGCCTACATATTTTCAGAAAATTTCTAACACTATTTCTAACACTTTTCTAACAGAATTTCTAAAGCTCTTGTTTCTCGTGACATCATCGACAGTCAGTCATAAAATGACATTATATTATTTTGATCTGCCATTTGTTGCTACAGAAAACAACTGTTTAAAAAAAGTTAAAGGGGTCATATGATGCTACTAAAAAGAACATTATTTTGTGTATTTGGTGTAATGAATGTGTTTATGCAGTTTAAGGTTCAACACACATTATTTTCCACATACTGTACATTATTGTTTCTCCTCTATGCCCCGCCTTTCTGAAACGCGTCGATTTTAACAAAGCAAATCGGTCTGAAAAGCGAGGTGTGCTCTGATTGGCCAGCTATCCAGTGCATTGTGATTGGCTGAATACCTCAAGCGTGTGACAAATGTTACGCCCCTACCATACTGTGATGCCGTGTCCGGCC